AATACAAATACACAAGTACGTTCATACATACATACACACATATATATATATACATTCATACACAATAAAACACCACTCAGCAAACACCACAGTACCCCAAAATAAAATCCCTCATCACAACAAATACACCATGATCTGTTCTATAAATAGAACACAGCCCAACAATTCCCCCCCCCAACACACAAGACTCCTCATAGCACATACCGTTCTCTCCCTCCTGGTCAGTAGTGCCCCGAACTTCGGGCATGTTCTCGTACCGGTTTGAGATGGCGATATTACCGGGATAGGCCACATAAGCGATATTGGAGGTGGACTTGAGGGGCACCACAATCGCAGGGGATGGGGCGGCGATGTCGTAGTAGAACTTGGTGTCGGCTAATTGTTCCTCTCCCGTGCGCATGAAGGATACCTACATGTAATAAAAATAGATGTGATAAAAAATATTTGGTAAGAATAGGTTTGATAAAAAATAGATGTGATAAAAGTAGATGTGATACATTTAGAACGCATAAGCTATACATGAAATGGAGTGGTTATGGGCCAGGAAGTATACAGCATGGCTAGGTATCTGCAAATGTTCCTCTCCCGTGCGCATGAAGGATACCTACATGTGATAAAAATAGATGTGATAACAGTAGATGTGATATAAATAGATGTGATACAAGCAGTTGTGACAAAATAGATGCAATAAAAATAGATGTGATAAAATTAAATGTGATAACAGTAGATGTGATAAAAATAGATGTGATAACAGTAGATGTGATATAAATAGATGTAACAACAGTAGATGTGATAAAAATAGCCGTGATAAAAATAGAACGCATGCACTGCACTAAGTAAGAACTGGGTGGTGGAGCGACAGTGTGCTATGGAGAGTAAGTACAGCTAGTCTACTGGATGATGCCTGAGTCTATCAATAACAATTCTATTGAATTGCTCTACATCAATGTAGTGTTTTGTGACCTGCGTCTGTGAGTCACGTATCTCAATATATATGAGTGATCCATCTAGACATATATGGCATAGTGTTTACCTACCACGCCCTGTAGATCAGATTGAGTACAGCTATATGAGTGATCCGTCTAGATCTATGTCATAGTGAGTATACCTACCATGCCCATATATGGCATAGTGTGTTTGCCTACCACGCCCTGTAGATCAGATTGAGTACAGCTATATGAGTGATCCGTCTAGATCTGTCATAGTGAGTATTCCAACCATGCCCATATATGGCATAGTGAGTTTACCTACCACGCCCTGTAGATCAGATTGAGTACGGCTATATGAGTGATACGTCTAGATCTATGTCATAGGGAGTATACCTACCATGCCCATATATGTCATAGCAAGTATACCTACCATGCCCATATATGGCATAGTGAGTTTACCTACCATGCCCATATATGGCATAGTGAGTTTACCTACCACGCCCTGTAGATCATTGAAGTTTAGCAGCCACGCACTGAGTTGGCTGAAGAAGCGCATGGTATACAGCAACTGCATAGAGCCCAACCGCACCCACAACACACTGTCCTCGCTTTTGGCGGGATGTGAAGGATCTTGTAGCTGAATGGATGGGCGTGTATTGGTACCAACTTTGGTGAACCGCAGGTGCAGGATATCTTTTCCTGTGCGTTATAAATAGATAGCCAATATAGAAATATATTATCAGTATATAAATAGATTGTCAGTATGTATTTAGAGTGTCAGGAAATAAACAGAATCAAGGTGGTTTGACGGGATGTCAAGGGTGGGAAGGCTCTTATAGTTGTACAAAACCCTCAACCTCAAAAGCTATGAATGGTCGCTTCTAACTACTACGGCAAACGCAAGTACAGGTATGCCCGTTCTTGTGAGATATAAATAGACTATCAATCTCTTGTGAGTTATAAATAGATTATCAATTGGTAAATAAAACCGGAGCGGTATGACAGTATGGAATGGAGCTTAAAGTTGTATCCAAGGTCCCCTTCGGTCTTTTTTTTGGAGGGGGGGAATAATTTCAGTTCTACCTCCCACCTTAACACACACCCGTCAGCTATAACCGCATAGTCCCCTCTGCAGACTCGAGAAATCAAAACTGTTCCAACACATGCAATGCATACAAACCAGCCCCACCCAACTAGTCTACCTAGGGCTTCTAACCTAAAACCCTAAAACCCTCAAATTCGAAGGCGTTTCTATAGATAGAACCTCCCTCTACCAGATTCCGCAATAAACCGGGACCCGTAGTAGCTTGCCTACCCGCACAAAAATAGCACTTACCTACATTCAAATACAGTCAGAATCTGAACACAAGCCACGAAACGAGACCAAAAACCGCTCATCTCGTCCACCTACCCTCAGATTTGAAGACGTTTCTATAAATAGAACCTCCGTCCGTCAGATCCTGCAATAAACCGGGACCCAGCTTCGCGGTGATTTGCCTACCCCCCTCGAAAACACCCCCCATTTTGATCTGAAGATCGCCTCCGCCTACGTCTAGGCGACACAGTGCCCTGTCTGCGGAGTTGAGTGTCAGCACCAGAGCGTTCACACGAATAGTCCACAGCTCAGCACCCCCATCTGAAGCTTCTGCGGCTCTGTGAAATAGGCGTACGTATCATGTATGGTGTGAATGTAAATCTACATATATATATATATACATATATATATATATGTGTGTGTGTGTATGGTGTATATGTGTCCATCTGCGTGTGTGTGTATGTGTGTGTGTGTGTGGTTTGAGTGTCAGTACAAGGGTGTTCACACGTATAGTCTACGCTTCAGCCCTCCCATCTGTAAGCTCTGCGCTTCAGTTAAGTATTGTGTGTATCAGGTCTGCATGAGCATATACTTATGAGTGTGAGTTAGATGTATACACACATGTATATATGTATTTGAAGGTAAAGCAACATAACAATGACGAAATACGGTCAGCACTACCAGAGCATATCATACTCATTGAGACCGGTCTTTTGTCCCGGTCTTACTGGTGGTGCTCTTTAATTGTCCACTAAGGTTTATATAAATATTCAAATACAGAGTAACCTTGCTGGTCGTGCTCACTAACTGTCCACTAAGATATATATGGACTTTCAAATACAGAAGAAATTCAAACCAAGAACGAAATCTAGGCATTGTCATAACACAACATATCGTACTTATTAGGACCGGTCTTTGTCCCTGTATTGCTGGCCATACTCTCTAATTGTCCACTACGACATATATCGATTTACACATACTGAAGAACCCCAAATTAAAAACGAAAGTTCAGCACCGTCAGAACACAACATATCGTACTTATTAGAACTGGTCTTTGTCCCTGCATTGCTGGTCGTGCTCTCTAATTGCCCAGTACTGGGTGCAGAGGTGTCGCCGCCGGTGAAGAAATCTATTAATAGCACAGTGGTCTGCAAATTCAGTACCAGTCCGAGATCGTTGAAGTTGACCTGATATTTATAACAAAAACGGGAAACCCCTGGAATATATTAGACTGAACGCTTAAAGCAAGCACTGGCTGGGTCTATTGAATTAGCATAATCTAAAACTAAGGCGATTGGGAAGAATATTTAATTTGTATTGAAATTAGGATTTATATTGTATATAGGTCTTAAAATTGCATAAAAAGTAGGATTCAAGTTGGCATAAGATTAAGATTTAAAAGTTCAGAAAAATTTAAATTCGAGTTGTGCATAAAATAGGATTTTCTGGCATACCTCACAGACGGATCTAAACGAACAAAACATGGTCGTGCTGATGATTTCAAGCGACACAACCCCAAATCTTAAACAACTTGCACTTGTCATTTAAACTCAACAACTGAAACTGGTTTAATACGCTATATTGTGTAGTAGTAGGGGTTTGAGTGAATGATGTGAATCCCAAACTGAAGTGCGGCTGTAACGTAAGGTCGCCACAGGACATCATCTATACGTGTAAACTTTGGACATGCTTCTGACTAGATAAAGGTATGCTTCAGAATGAATGCATGCTTCTGAATAAAGACATGCTCTGAATAAATGCATGCTTCTGAATAAAGACGTACTTCTGAATAGAGACATTCGTCTAAATAAATAAAGTCAAGCCCCTGATTTTAAGACATGTTCCTGAATAAAGTCATGTTTCTGAATACAGTCATATTTCTGAATAAAAACATGCTTCTAAATATAGATATGCTTCTGAAGAAGACTATCTAAACCAGAAACGAACCCAAGGAACCAGTTTGGTTATATCTACAGACAGGTCACTTGGTAAAAACGTAACCTGTTTTGGAAGTACGCCTATGCACATTGCAAGTACAAAAGTGCGTTTACCTACCTCGACGGTACGTTTATTCTCGTCCATTGAGTCCCACAGGGGCGATTTTTCGTCAGCAGTGACTACGGCAATGGTGACTAGTTTATCGGAACTGTCCATAGTGCCTTTCCTCTTTAATTGGTCACTACTGTCGCCGGCATCCTCTCGGGGAGGCACCACGACTCCGAAGTCAGATAGATCGGGACTGTCCGTTACAATTTGACGGCCCTGCAGTGCGAGTTAAACCAGGTTTAAAATATAACAAACCCAGCGGTTTTTTACAAGCGCGACGATAGTATGTTCTCGCTCTGTTTCAACCTACTTATATACTGGACATACTATGAGACCCTAAACCTTGAACCCTAACATCGAATTGTTAACGTATAGATTTCAAGTCTTCTACGGATATGTGGCCCATTCACTCGAACGAACATCAACGCAATACACCCGACACCGTTACAACATTGATCGCCACCCAATGTCGTTGAAGCCCGGGCAGTGAGTAATTCGTCAGCAGTGGCATTCTATTTATAGATCATATTCTCTCGTCGCATTGCGTTCTATTTATAGCTCCTTTCCCTGCAAATATCAGTCGTCTACCGATAGGTACAGATATACACGAACGAACACCCGCGCACTCGCAACTGTTGTACACTAATTGTGAGCATTGGTCGTTGAAGCCCAGGTCTTATCAACTGTGCGGTGGTCTATTACTCGTTCATATATTCTGACGCATTTTGGCTCTATTCAATACTATATAAATTAATATATATATATATATATGTGTGTGTGTGTGTGTGTGTGTGTGTGTGTGTGTA